TCTCATAACATTGGTTCTACAATAAATTTTTGATGTGGATTTTATTCTTGTGCTGCAGTATATGATACATTGTGACCTTACTATATGAAATTATTATTTCTATCTGTTAGTTCGTCTACCTTTTACTGGATTATAAATATACATACAATCAAATTTTAAGTTGCATGTTCTCAATTTACAATTTATAATCAACTTCTCATATTGTCATGCTATTTGTGTGTTCTCTTTGGATTTTGATGGATACTTCTATTTTTGGATAGCAGTTTATGTTATTTTCTGCTGCATCATTCATCCCCGCACCACAAATTCTAAATATCATGTTATGTTACGGATAACCATTCATTGAAGTTTCATCTCAATCTGAATATATGTAGCGCCTAGCGTTAATGTCACGACGCAAAATTCAAATAGTCGTGATGGCATCTAACCCAACCCGCTAGGTAAGTCACTTTCAACTATCCAATTCCAATAACAATTATTAAAGCCATTTAAGTAAGTAAATATCTTAATCTTATATATTCCCCTAAGAACTCGTAGTACAAATCATGAGCTTATAAGAATAGAATTTACAAAGCTGATATGAAGTAAATACATCTTCTGTTTGAAAAGTACATAAATATAATTTTTATAATCTAAGGCTACCATGAACAAGAGGCAGCTACCATAAGAACGCAGGTACATCTTCAAATCCGGCAACCATCGAGTACCGTAACAACATCAGCCAACATCTGCACGCAATGTGCAGAAGTGTAGTATCAGTACAACCGACCCATGTATTGAGTAGGAAACAAACCTAACCTTAGGTTGAAAGCAGTGACGAGCTTTTACCAAGGTCGGCTCCAAAAACCAATAGTCCACAACAGTCCATAACCACGTAAAGCAAATAAAACAAGAAGTAACTCAGAGATAAAATGCTCAGCTAAATCATGATTTCAAAAATAATAATCCTTCATTTTAAGTAAATCAGTGAAAACCCAAATCGTTTACCAAAGTTGCCAGAAATATGAATAAGTTTGAAAACAATAATTTTTCCAAAATCCTTTCAATAATAAATGAGATGTTTCATTTTCTTTCTAGATAACCTGTATAAAAATAAATGCATCACTATGCCCATCTGTCAACATATTTGAGAAATCATGAATGATATGATACTGTACAACATGAGGAAAATACATCTCTATGCATGTATGTCATGTGTGCATGTCAATGCGATGCAACTCAGTGATAAAATCATATGCATACTCTGAGAGTATCATTTCACTCAGTCCTCCCAGTCACTCAATCCTCCCAATCACTCAGTCCTCCCAATTACTCGGCAATCGCACTCGGCACTCGGCAGTCGCACTCAGTAGGTACCTGTGCTCACTGGGGGTGTGTACAGACTCCGAAGGGGCTCCTTCAGCCCAAGTGCAATAATCTGCACGGGCAACACACGTGCGGCACAGACAACTCACGTGCTATAATAATATCTAGATCCGCACGGACAACTCACGTGCTGTCATCCGTGCACCAATACGCAATAATTCAATTGTACTCAGTCATGGAAAAATGACTCCAATGAGAGAACTGCCCCGCAAGACTAATAAGTACCGCCACAAAGAATTGCTGAAAATCCATCACACACCATAGAACCATCACGCAATTCTAACACAAGGTTCATTCCTTAATATAACTCTGCTGCAATGCGTCCGTACCTTCATACCTTCGCCCCGATGTCTAACGCTGGTCCATATTATATACCCTAAGCTATCCTGCTCAAAAATCAATAACCCCGGAGTGGCAAATGACATAATGCCACACAAAACCCGAAAGAACATAAATAATATGCAATCAATCATGCAATACCCAAATACTTATCTCGCTCAAATTCTGCCATAAGGCATCCAATAGAACTGCACCATGTGTGCATATAAACGATGAATCACAACTCCTTGTAGCATGGAGGAGTAACTCACATATCACTTCAGAACATGAATAATTTTAACATCAACCAAATGGCATATCCCTCAACAATAGCAGTATGGAGCCAACCAATCCGACTAGGTGTAGAATACACATCCTAATTGGGCCTACCAATGGACCCCCAAATCAATTATGGTCACCTACAAATAGATAAATAACCCTCCAAAAATTCACCACGACTAATTCATAATACATCCTATCATCTAACTAGCTTCGGCCACGACTTCACACTCTGCAACGATGAAACAATCTGCTCCTGAAACTCCCAAATTCCAAATTTATAGGACACATGAATCATCATAACGGATCCCAATTCTAGCCTTCAAATGACTAACACATCTTTCATGCACGATCATTCTACAAGAAGTACTCCCATAATTCTTCTGTACCACATAGAAATAATTTGAATATCAGTAGTCTATCAACCATGTGAGTACCGCAATACTAATTATACATCCGTAAGTCAAAATACAATGCACCTTCTGAAATCCGCCCCCTTCTCATACAAAACCAAGTAGTAATAGTGTTCATCTAGTTATTTGGTACCGCCCATGTTGTCTAACATTCATTACCTTCTCTTCAAGACTGTACTGCCACCTTGTACATATAAATCTAACTTTCGCACAACATATAACATCTATCTTGCCATCATGTGAAAAGCACAAGAATCTTATTATCAACTTTGAGTCACCAACAATTTACATACCTTATTAGTTAGAAACCTTTTTCTTGCTTCTTTCCAGGAGGAAATCACAATACACAACACGTTCTCCACACCGGTAGAAAATATTGGTTCAAACCATGGTAGAAACCATCAAGAACACTTTGAAATCCATTTGCACATAACCAAGCCATCAGACCTGAATCTCTCTAACTCAACCAAGCCACGCAGGTCACCAAACCCAAGAATATTGCCACCAAAACATCTGTAAAGTCTTACCACATCGTAATTACCCCAAAGACCGATCCTACCATTACCATACTGGTCCAGTCTACTACCTAGTTGTCCTATTTCTCCGAGTCCCTTCCGAATTTGTCTTCAGATTGATACTTCTCCTTGCTAAAACACCACGATCTTTGACTACAACTCACTATAAGACACCCTAACATAAAACTACACCGCCCTAAGGCCCATAAGTTAATGTATTCCCGCAAAAGCACCACAAACGAGACATCCACTCTGAAAGACCTTATGTAAATTTAAAATTTCTCCCCTTTCCTTTCTTATACTGAAATATAAAGTCCCTAGTCATACAGAATTTCCGCAACTCCAGTCGCCATTAAATGTAAATATCAGATTTTATCCATATACAAGTCCGGAGAATTTCTCAATTGCTATATATAAATCTCGAACCTATTGGAACTTTCTCGAGAGTGATCCACTTTGTTCAAATCTAAATTACACTGCCCAAATGGGCCAAAAGACACATGCCCCAATAGCACAACAACACTCAAAAAATTAACTCTACTTTAATACCACCTATCAAATTCATACTCTGTGCGCACTACATCATTTACAAATAGCAACTCACTCATCCCACGATTTCCATATGCTCATAAAGCGCAATAAACCTGTATTCAGGAATTTCGGTACTCGAGTTATTCTCGAACTCCACCTCTACAAGTCATCACTGATTCCCAAGTATACCTCAGACCAAAACACAATTTTGACATATAATCATGAATTAAATTGTCAATAGCAGGCTCCCCTACTTGGCTCAAAGCCATAAATAAAAACATTCGATAACTCACAATAACCATACTCTCTTACTGCCATAATGATGCAGTCAGTTCAATAAAAATTCTTCTCAAGCTCGTGTGACACCAACTATAAAAAAAAAATACTTCGATCATTCTCTAAGCTCGCATTTATTCTCTTGACAGTCAAGTCAACTTCCTCACACAGATTCAAATTCAAATCTCCACACATATAACTCGCTGGTAGAAAAGAAACTCTTCAGTCAACACTATAAAGAACACTTCTACGTAGATTACTTTGCAGGAGATAATCCACCTGCTTAGCCTCAAATTGTCATCTTGTTATACCCTTTCTTAGCCACAATTGCTATGAAATCACTTAATTATTTTGAGTCCAAACTCATTAACCAGACACGAGAATTTAATTTGCCCCAAAATTTAACAACGTGAAAGATCTTTCAAAACATTCCCACTCGAGACCGTATGTCACATCAAAACAAAAATCAAGCACCCAATGGCCTTCCTTTACACTTCAAGAAAACACTTCTCGCCACATTCACATCATCTTAACACATCCCGCAGTTACATCATACTCATCACAAAGCCATTTCACCGCTCATCGATCCATGAATTCCACCTGTAGGGACATTACCGGACATATGAGTCCAAATGTACAAGTTATAACTGAAGCTACCGAGCTTAAACTGCGATCTAACCATGGCCTCAAGTCCTCCAGACTGGCCCATCACCAAAACATAGCATACACATCTCGCACATCATCCCTGAAACCACAAGCCGGCGATACACAGCTGATACCGAGCGCTCATGTGCGCATACGAATATGTGGAAGGAATTCAAGGAGTTATGTCTCAAGCTGAATCAATCCCGCACGATGAGGGAAGAAAGATGGGAAGTATATATCCTAAATGCCCTGTAGCCTCTCGAAGATAAGTATGGACGTCATCATACCGATCCACAAGACTCTACTAGACACTTGCTCATGACTTGTAGAACCTATGAACCTAGAGCTCTAATACCACCTTGTCAAGACCCAAAATCTAACTAGTCGTGATGGAACCTAACCCAACCCGCTAGGTAAGCCAACTTTCAACTATCCAATTCCAATAATAATTATTAAAGCAATTTAAGTAAATAAAGATCTTAATCTTATACATTCCCCCAAGAACTGGTAGTACAAATCATGAGCTTAAAAGAATAGAATTTACAAAGCTGATATGAAGTAAATACATCTTCTGTTTGAAAAAGTACATAAACAAAGTTTTTATAATCTAAGGCTACCATGAACAAGAGGCAGCTACCATAAGAACGCAGGTACATCTTCAAATCCGGCAACCATCGAGTACAGTAACAACATCAGCCAACATCTGCACGCAATGTGCAGAAGTATAGTATCAGTACAACCGACACCATGTACTGAGTAAGAAACAAACCTAACCTTAGGTTGAAAGTAGTGACGAGCTTTTACCAAGGTCAGGTCCAAAAATCAATAGTCCACAACAGTCCATAACCATGTAAAGCAAATAAAACAAGAAGTAACTCAGAGATAAAATGCTCAGCTAAATCATGATTTCAAAAATAATAATCCTTCCTTTCAAGTACATCACTGAAAACCCAAATCGTTTACCGAAATTGCCAGAAATATGAATAAGTTTGAAAACAATAATTTTTCCAAAATCCTTTCAATAATAAATGAGATGTTTTATTTTCTTTCCAGATAACCTGTGTAAAAACAAATGCACCACTATGCCCATCTGTCAACATGTGTGAGAAATCATGAATGTTGTGATACTATACAGCATGGGAAAAATACATCTCTATGTATGTATGTCATGTGTGCATGTCAATGCGATGCAACTCAGTGATAAAATCATATGCATACTCTCAGAGTATCATTTCACTCAGTCCTCACAGTCACTCAATCCTCCCAATCACTCAGTCCTCCCAATTGCTCGGCACTCGCACTCAGCAGTCGCACTCAGTAGGTACCTGCGCTCACTAGGGTGTGTATAGACTCCGGAGGGGCTCCTTCAGCCCAAGCACTATAATCTGTACGGACAACTCACGTGCTGCATGGACAACGCACATGCTATAATAATATCTGGATCAGCACGGACAACTCACGTGCTATAATAAAGCCAATCTAGCATGCTGCGGCGTGTAGCCCGATCCCATAATTATCCTCACAATCAGGCCCTCGGTCTTACTCAGTCATCAATCTCTCCAGTCTCTCGGGCTCACAATGTCATGAAAAATCAGCTCAAAATAATGATATGATGTATCAATAAATAGCAACAGAGACTGAGATATGATATGAAGTGAATGAACATGAATATGACTGAGTATGGATTTTCAATTTAAAATAAATAATTCACAGTAATATGAACTCTATGGGTCCTAATAATATTGTGACATAGCTTCAACATGATTTTTAATATGATTCTCAGCTCAATTTCTTGAGCACATAAAACTGCATGGAAAATACCAAGATTATTTGACTACAAAATTTCACGAAACAATTACGTCACAATTTCTATGGGGCACGCCCACACGCCCATCACCTAGCATGTGTTTCACCTTCCAACAATTTAAAAATCCATATATTCAGGGTTTATACCCTCAACTCCAAGATTAGAAGAGTTACTTACCTCGAATAAGCCAAATCCAATATCGAGCAAGCTAAACAATGCTCCAGAAATTCCATTCTGCGCGTAACAACTTTTGAACTGCTCGCATCTAGTCACAATTAATTTAATTCAGTCCACAAAAATTATAGAAATTTATTCCATATTAAAATACTAATATTTTCCATAAATATCTGAAATTATACCCCAAAAATCACCCGTGGGGCCCACGTTTCGGAATTATACGAAACTCATAAAATCCGACAACCCATCCAATTACAAGTTAAATCATACTAATTTCACTCAATTCCGACTCCAAATCAATGTTCAAAGCTCAAATATTCATATTATGAACTTTAGGCCAATACCCTCATTTTCCTCTTTAAATTCATCAATCAATTGCTAAATATGAAGATAGATTCATGGAATATAATCATAAGGGAGTCAAGAACACTTACCCCAAGTTGTGTGGAAAAATTCCTCTCCAAAATCGCTCAACCCGAGCTCCAAAATCCGAAAATGAGTAAACATCACGAAACCCCGAATTTAAGCTTCTGTCCCAGCGATTTCCGCATCTGCAGACAAGGGGTTGCACCTGCGACCCTCGCTTCTGCGGACAAAAATACGCGCCTGCGAAAACAGTCGGCATTCTCAAATTTCGAAACTGCAGCGCCATTCTCGCATCTACAGGCTTGCAGATGCGCATACCCTTCGCACATGCGGCCTCGCAGATGCGGCAATTTCTTCGCACATGCGAGTAGTGCCCAGTTCCACTCTTGGCCGCTTTTGCGGCTGATTTCGCGCATATGCGGCTTCGCACCTGCGATTAAAAGCTTCGCAGGTGCGATCACAGTCTGAATTTGATCCGTTAACTATCCGNGTTGCGCACACATGTGGCTTCGCACCTGCGATTAAAAGCTTCGCAGGTGCGATCACAGTCTGAATTTGATCCGTTAACTATCCGAAACTCACCCCGGGGCCCCCGGGACCTCAACCAAATATACTAACAAGTCCCATAATATAATACGGACCTACTCGAGGCCTCAAATCACATCAAACAACATCAAAACGACGAATTACACTTTAATTCAAAAATTATTGAACTTTGAAACTTCAAATTCTACATCTTGTGCCGAAACACATCAAATCACGTCCGATTGACCTCAAATATTTTGCACACAAGTCACATTTCATATTACGGACCTATTCTAATTTCCAGAATCGGATTTCGACCCCGATATCAAAAAGTCAACTCCCGGGTCAAACTTTCCAAAAATTCAACTTTCGGCATTTCAAGCCTAATTCTACTACGTACCTCCATAAAATTTTTCGAACTCGCTCCTAAGTCCAAAATTACCATATGGAGCTATTGAAATCATCAAAACTCTATTCCGGGGTCGTTTACACATAAATCGACATCCGGTCACTATTTTAACTTAATCTTTAAACCTTGGAACTAAGTGTTCCAATTCATTCCAAAATCTCACCAGACCCGAACCAATTACCCCGGCAATTCATACAACAACTGTAAAGTACAATTTGAGAAGTAAATGGGGAAACATGATTGTAATGCTCAAAACGATCGTTATTACAGTTAATTGTTCTGATGCTTTTTGAAGCTCACCAAGCTATGAATCACTTGAAGTTGAACCAAATTTTGTCCATGGTTGAAGAAAGAAAGGTAAGAGACAAAGTGTACATTATTTGACTTCTGCTCACTCTTCACCAGTTACATGTGAGTTCTAATAGCTAGTATTGAATACCTTAACCTAATGTTGTTGCTCGTGACTTAGACAAATGGAGTTGCAGGATTCACTTAGCTTTCAAATAGTGAGTATGATTGCTTTGGCACTGGCCATAGTTCGACTACCATCTTAGCAGCAACAGGTATATATCCATTAAACTGTGAACTGAGTTCAGTACAGAACATGACCTGTGAAACTTGAATTGACTCCCCCTCAAACACATGGATCAGAGCTTTTCTTTCTTCATCAGTTTCTTGTATATGGCTAAGGAGAAGGTATAATTCCAAATCTTGTTAGAGGTTTCATTTGGTTATATGAATGTTAGAGGATTTGTTGAATTAGTATCTGCACATTCGTCCAAGTTAATGTTACTACTTAAATTATCATTAACCAAATTAAAGGTTCTACCAATTTCTCCGCGTTGACAATGCGATTGTGAAACGTTCTTGATGGTATTATTTTAATTTTGGACCTGTCTGACTGATCTCTTTTACTGCTATATGCGTATTTTCCTGGGCTAATACGTGTTCTTTTGAGAATTTGTAGACATTTTAGTTTAGGGATAATATTTTTATGACTAGTTCATTGAAAACTAATGTGTAGAATCTAATTTACTTAAGTTAGGTTTCTTAGCTAGCTATTTTAACTTAATGAATTCATATGCAAATCTACCTTACTTGTGGGAATACACTGGGTTGTTGTTGTTGTTGTTGAATTCATATGCAAATCTGTTGTTTGTCTTTATGTCTGATAGCATGTATACAGATTATCCCGATATAACTTATTTTAGTTCATTTCATTTTCATAATTAATTTTGTTAAGGAGACAACTATTTCACCTTGAATTCATATATTAGGATTTTTCTTATTAAAAAGTAGCACCTGTAATGTATTCTTTTCCTACTTTTTTATCGAAAGTGGTCTATTTGTCTTATTATAATTAGCATCTGCAATGTATTTTTCTCATGCTTTTCTATAGAAAGTGGTCTTGTAATTTTGCCATAATTGTAAGACATTGAAGAAACCTGTAATAATGAAATTTGCTTGTCTGTTGTGATCCATATATAAATGCACAAGTGAATCTAGCTTTAGAAAAATTCTAAATGTATTCATTGTCTGGTATATCTACATAGAATTCTTACTACATTAAAGAATATGTTCGAATACTTTCTTGAATCTGTTAGCTCTCCATTTTACAGTATATTTTTAGATGTTTGTGAACCTGATATAAAGAATATATCGGTTTATTCGTGTTTGTTTCCTGTGTGAATCAACCTCTCCAAGTTAACTAATAATTTGTGGGAGGTTAAGGACATGACGTCAACTCCTTATATTAGTATGAACTCTTATTTTCAAACCTGACTAGCGAGTCCTATTGTTTGAAACTCTTTGTGATTAATTTGAACTCTTTTTTTTTTTACAAGTGTCTGGTATTTGCAGTGAAACTTCTTGCTTAACATGATAACTTGTGTGCCTAGCACCTTTGCCTACTTGTCCATGTGGTTATATGATATGTTTTCTTACTGCCTAGCATATTAAATCCATGAGAAAAAAAGAAATTTTATTGACAAGATATTCTGATTGCTCCATTTGGTTAACATAGATCTAATTCTTTATCCAGTTAATTTTGAAATGTTAAATTGTACTTATTTTATGTATTCTGATATTTGTGAGTTTTGTCATATCTATCTCAATCTCTGTTTTACTATCACTCTATCATTACCATTCTGTTGACTCATAGTATGATGAAAGATGGTCCTCATCTAGGTGCTTGACATTAAACGGATTCTTTTTGAAAATTTTGCTTACTTTTTTTTTTAGTATCTTTTGTAGGTGGAGCAAATGAACAAAGGATAGGCATAAACGGTGAAAACCTTACTTAGAGTGCTGATTGATTATTGTTGAAACTTCGAAATCATTCGAACATTTTGCAATCTTATGTATTAATAATTTTGCATTTGTAAACACTATTGTATAATTTACTTTTATGGATATTACCCCTTTAAATATTTTGGATTGTTGGATTATGAATTTATTTATGATTGTGATAACCCGATAGGTCATTTTATATTTTAGAACCTAATTATGCGTTATGAGTTCTCAAAAACCTCATCTTAACCTTTCTCAATTTGCGTGCACAGTCCGAGTGTTCTTCCGGAAGGCTTATATGTTAAAAACTGATAAAAAGAGAATTTTTACCTTAAAAATTAATTTAAGTTGACTTCGGTCAATATTTTTAGCAAACGGAGCCAGATCCATATTTTGACGGTCCCGTTGGATCCGTATCGAAATATGGGACCTGGGCATATGCCTGGAATCGAATTCGGAGGTTCCTAACTCGAGTTATGATTTTTTGATGAAAATTAAAAGTCTGAATATTTAATGGTTTTTAAGAATTGGTTAATGTTTGGCCTTGTTGATACCGGGTCCGTATTTTGCTTCCGGAGCCCAGTATAGGTCCAATATAATATTTATGACTTATCTGTGAAATTTGGTGAGGAACGGAGTTGGTTTGACGTGATTCGGACGTCTGGTTGTGAAAATAGAAGTTTTAAAGTGTTCCTGAGAATTTCATTTGATTTGGTGCTAAATTCGTAGTTCTAGGTGTTATTTTGGCGATTTGATCGCGCGAACAAGTTCGTATGATATTTTTAGACTTGTGTGCATGTTTGATTTGGAGCCCCGAAGGCTCGGGTGAAGTTCGGATAGGCTACGAGATGTTTGGACTTAGAAAATTTGGTATTTTTGCTGCAGCAGCTGTTCTAGTGTGTTCTTATTCGTGTTCGCAAAGATACTCTCGCGAACGCGAAGGGTAAGCTGGTCAGGGTGAGTTTTTGCTCTTCGCGAACACAAAGGACTGGTCGCGAACGCGGAGTGATGGGGGATTTATCTTTCGCGAACGCGACCGTCTCAACGCTAACGCGTAGTGTTTGGGACCTGGGGGAGGGGGGGTCAGTCACTCTTCATCGCGAACGCGAGCAAGGACTCGCGAACGCGAAGGCCAGGGGGCGTAACCTTCGCGAACGCGATAGGAGTTTCATGATCGCGTAAGCTTGGCAAGCTCTGATCTTCGCGAACGCGATGAATACTGTCGCCCAACTATTAAACAGTCCCATTACGGGACTTAAGCCATTCTTTCAACTTTTTAGAAGCCAAACGGCCTAGAGACGATTCTCCCAAGCTAAATTCTTCCCCAAAGTATTGGTAAGTGATTCTAAACCATTTTCTTTCAATTACCCATTACATTTTATGAATTTTCAACATAAAATCTAGAGTTTCATGGTAGAGCTGAGGGTTTTTGGGTAGAAACTAGGGATTTGGAAAAAATGGGGATTTAGACTTCAAATTGAGGTCGGATTCCAAAACCAATTGTATATCCGGGATCGGGGGTGAATGGGTAAATGGATTTTGGTCCGAACCTCGGGTTTTGACCAAGTGGGCCCGGGGTCAATTTTTGACTTTTTGGGGGAAAGTTTGGGAAATCTAAATTTATGCAATGTAATTGATTCCTTTAGAAATATTTGATATTATTGAGTCGTTTTTGAATAGATACGAGTGGTTTGGAGGTGGATTCTAGAGAGAAAGCTGTGATTGAGTATTGAGTGGCTTTCGGAACGAGGTAAGTGTCGTGGTTAACCTTGGCTTGAGGGATTAGGTATGATTCGCTTATTTGCTACGTGTTTGTATGTTGAGTAAAATGTATAGGTGATGTGACGAGTACCTATGCGTTGTTGTCGAGTCATAACATGCGAGAAAGTCTTATTATTGTAATCGTGGTATTCCTTGATCATATTGTTCATGATTAGACTAGCTATTCGTTATATTGAATAATTTTTATTATGTTTTACGGAAATTGGTATTGACTCAAAGTTGAGGTTAGTAGCATGGGAGTGAATGTTGAAGTAAGACTTATTCTTGATATTTCTATCTCCCTGTCGTTGTTGTTCATTGTCTTGGTGAGGGAGAGTATTAAAGCACGACGGGTGATGTCGTGCAACGTTTTGTGAGTGAGTGTTAATGCATGAAGGGTGATGTCGTGCCATGTTATGAGAGAAAGTTAATGCACGAAGGGTGATGCCGTGTCATTTCTATTGTTCCTTATGGTGA